ACAGTCCTTAGGCCGATGCTCTATCCACTGAGCCAAACCGTGCACGGTAAAACGTTTTTATTGATTTTAGAAGGAGGAAGAGAGAGAGAGAGAGAGAAGCATCGCTTTGCTGTTCTACTTATCTACTCATCCATTGATTGATTCTTGTATGTGCCCTGAATGGGGATGGAACCTGTAACCTTGGTGTATTGGGATGACGCTCTCACCATCTGAGCTACCCAGGGCAGTGATGGCGAACCTATGACAAGTGTATCAGAGGTGACACGCGAACTCATTTTTTTTGGTTGATTTTTCTTTGTTAAATGGCATTTAAATATATAAAATAAATATCAAAAATATAAGTCTTTGTTTGACTATGGTTGCAAATATCAAAAAATTTCTATATGTGACACTGCACCAGAGTTAAGTTAGGGTTTTTCAAAATGCTGACACACCGAGCTCAAAAGGTTCGCCATCACTGACCTAGGGCCAGGGCAAAAGGTCAATCATTTTGTACAACGTCTTTATAGCTGTGTACATTGGTGTCTCATTGGGTAGAATCTTTATTTCTGGAGGATATTTATGGAAAAATATCCTCCAGTGAGGATGGACAACAATAAAAAATTAGCCTGCTATGTTTGGTCAAACATTTATTTAACTCACCCCTAACGCCTTGGCAGGGCCAGACCCAATGATCGCGGGTTCCATTCCTGGTCTAAGGGCATGTACCTTGGATTACAGGATAGAACCTGGCCTGGTGGGATGCGTGGCTGGGGCATCCAATTGATGTGTCTCCCACCTCTCTCTCTCTCTCTCTCTCTCTCTCTCTCTCTCTCTCTCTCTCTCCTTCTCCCTCCATCACTCCCTTCCACTCTCTCTAAAAAGCAATGGAAAAAATACTATCCTGGAGTGAAGAGATAAAAAAAAAAAAAAACACCACACACACCAAACACCAATCAGAAAGAATGTATGCACCCTCATGTTCACAGCAGCACAATTTACAATAGCTAAGACCTGGACACAGCCCAAGTGCCCATCTGCCGATGAGTGGATTAAAACAGCTGCAGTACATTTGCACCATGGGAGACTGTGCAGGAATAAGAAAAGAAGGATCTCGCCCTTTGAGACAGCATGGAGGGACCTGGAGAGTATCCTGCTAAGTGAAATAAGCCGTTAGAGAAAGATAAGCATCACATGATCTCACTCATGTGGAATCTAAGGAACAAAATAAACTGATGAACAAAATAGATCCAGAGACAGAGACGCATGGAACAGACTGTAGACCCTCAGAGGGAAGGCAGGGGTGGGGGGGAAGAGATGAACCAAAGACCTTGTGTGTAGATATGCATAACCCATGGACACAGACAATGAGGTGGTGAAGCCGGGGGTGGGGGGTGGGGGCAGGCTTGGAAAGAGTCAGTGTGAGAAAAGGGGTCGGGAACTATGGTAAAACTTTCAACATTAAGATTTAAAAAATGAAAGCTCTAGC